TTTCATGCATGTGTGAGGGAGAGGCCGCAAGGTGTGGTACGAATCATGACGCACCCTGTGTACCATGTTACTTTAGGAACAGCTGAACCCATGGTGCTATGGCACCAGAGTATTATTTGTTTTAATTAGATTAAGGAAAGTAAATTGTGGGTTTACACCAACTTAAAGAAATAAGTTTCCAACAACTAATATTCTGCCATGTATTCACACTCATGTCATTCCAAACCCACATGACCTTCTTTCTACTGTAAAAACACAGAGATGTTTCAAAGAATGTTCACTCTGCTCTTTTCCATACCACAATGAAACGAAAACAAAGTGTGACGATTTTAATTTGTGAATGAACTATCCTGGTGCAGTAAGTTAAAGCACAACAGTGATCTTCAGGCCAACAGAACAGACAGTATAATACAAAACTATTCCTGAAATGAACTTTATGGTCATATTGTGAAGTTATGGGCAGTAAGTAATGGTGTTTACATCACAGCAGTTCTCCCTATAAGGTGAAGTTGAAACAAAGAGTAAGACGTAGTGACAGCTGTTTTTCTTTCGCTAATATTGTGAAAGTGCTTTCTTTTATTTATTCAATGAGAAACAAAGAGCAGGCAAATGTTGGAAAATCCAGCTTAAACTGATAGCTTGAAAGATGGTAGCTGGTTTTAGCTGCCCAAACTGGTCATTGACTGGTTGACCATGTCATTATGTTTCAAAATCAAGCTTGACTGCTTTAAACTGGTGGTTTGTTGCTGGTCCAGTGTGGTCTACCAAGCTAATTACCAGCTTGGACCTAGGAGTTGCTCACAGTTTTTATCATTTAAAAGAAAGCAAAGTATGAGAGATGAATGTTGTAATAGAACTGAACTTTCATAAGACAAAAGTTCTCAAAGCAGTTCTGACATTTTTGCATTGTTTTCTATTCAGTGTTTTCTCCTGCTCACACACTGTTCAGTGCTCAACAGGTTGCTACTCTTCCCATAAGACTGCGATACTTTCACAGACAATAATCAGACCTGTCAGTGGGATATTAAACATGCTTTGATATTAACAGATAAACATATTATATAAAATGGGATTAAAACAAAGCAAAAAACAAACAAACAGCGAAATACACCTAATAGGCTATCGAATGACATTGGGAATCCTAACCTGAAGACAGAACCTTAGATTAATACACAGTTTGACATGTAACAAACTTACCTATATAAATGAAAAACAATCCGTTAGAATGACACGCTTCTTTATCGATGTCTTTGTAACTAAAGTCCGTTATTTGAAGGGCAATAATAATCCCATGAGAGGCGGTGAGGTGTAGGTCACGGCGGGGAGCTGCTGAAGGGGCAGGGAGCGCGCGCAGGGTCGCTCATTCTCCTCAGCGCTGTTTGACCCTCCCAAAGAGTTAAAAATAAAGTAGAGAAGCGGAGCACTCGCTGTCTGAGCGCAGGGGACGCGCATTCCTGTCAAGAGTCGCTGCTTTAAATGGCGTTCCCCACCCTTACACTGCCCGCCTCTAGGCCTACATGCCTACATCACAAGCCCTGCATAAATATAAAGCCGCAAAACTTTACTACTAGCGACTAGTGCCAGTAAGGAACTGCGGCCAATTAAAATCACTTTCTTTAAGGATTATTTTACATGGTGAACACTTGTTGTCGTTTGTGCTTTTCTAGTCCTCCTTCCTTAAATGTTCTATTAAAAAAAAAAACTGCACTTGAACAATAAAATATTTGCTAGGCTGCTATAGCCTACCTTTCATTTAGCCTACTGTATCTATAATGTTTAAATGGCAGAGTAGTTAGAGCACTGAACAGAATTGTGAGTAAACATTGCATTATTTTTGTAAAACTATAGCCTATAATTGTTGAAAATACATTATTATGCTTTAAGTTAGCCTGGCTTTAATCTATATTTGTGTTTCATATTTTATACGTTTTAATGCAAAACACTCAGTGAGTGAGTGAATGTTGTAGGCTAATGATTCTTTTTATTTCAAGGAATAATGTATTAAATAAATAAATTATTTAAAGGGATTTATAAGTGAATGTATAAAATAATAATACATTTAAAATAATATATATATTTTTGTTTATGTTAAAATAACCAGAAATAGCCTAAGTAAATTTTGCTAAGTAATGAATTTGCAAATACTATTTGCAATTATATTTTTATTCTAATAAATGAATCAGTCATTTTAATAAATCACAACCTGAAACTTTACCTTGGTTGATTTCAGTTTTATACCCAGAGAAACATGGTAGCATATGGACTGAAATGACCTGGACTGAACTGGTTTGATAAAGTCAAATGGGGTCTGAAGTGGTCTGACAATAAAACCTTCAGTGCTCAAACTCAGGACCTTTTAAACTATTTCATACTTTATCAAAACCAACATCAAAGTTTGTCATTTTATCTATCTTGAGATCTAAAGGCCAATTCACTGCACTGCAGACCAAGTCCGACATGACAGAGTCACCAGATTACAGCACTAAATCTGATTCAGCAGTCGGTGACTCCAACAGACTCCGACAGGGGTGACACACTGATCAGACAAAACCCAACAAAGTGCCTGTTGCCGCCTATTGGCCTTAACAATACCCATATACATAGTATTAACAGATTACATAAAAGCTTAAATACAATTAAAAAAAAATATTCTAAAATTAAAATGGATATCACATACATATATTTTGTCAAAATCATTATGCAAATATATAGTCTTTCTGGGTGTCTTCAGTTAATCACTTCACTTGTCTAAATTATTCACTTGCTTATTTTTGGGAAAGGACAGCAGAAACAGACAGGAAAGCGGTGGAAGAGGGGGAATGGGATCGGTGAATGACCCAGGCCAGATCCGAACCATGTTGTACTGAATTCTTTGATCCACCAAATTATGTCACCCTAAATATTAGGCTCTGTATCGAGCTAATTCGACCTACTCCTAATCCCAATCCCAATCCTATCCCAACCAATACTACAGCACCTAGGCCTACTAGGGACACAGAATTCAGCACTACTGATATGATTAGGCCTTTACTAAAGAACAGACAGACATTTTATTGAAAAAGATTAAATTATACTTACCTGATCACTTACCTCATTATCTTATCTTTTTTTTTTTTTTTTGGTTAGGATTTGTTATGTCAGATCACCACCAGAGGTCATCTTCACCCCACTAATGGCCTAAGAAATAATCTTCTGTGTTTACTGCTTCATTCCAGTAACAAGAAGTGCACAGTAATTCCAGTAGTCACTAAAAATCCAGAAAGATCTGAACAACTTAACTTACAGTTATACATGTAGTGTTGTGATTTCGTACCAGCAAATATCCTGAGGTCAGCCTCTTAACTCGGGATCATACATTAAACATACAGAATATATAGAATTACTGATAAATGAACAATAAACTAATAAACATTTAAACTATAAAGAACTCTCTGTGTACTGCAGAAGAAGAAAACACTTTCTGAAAGTGAACATTTATGCAGAAAAAAATATATTTCGTTTGAAAATATTTCAAAACAATATTGATGTTTTGTTAGAAAAATAATATGTGGGTGTCTTACATTTGGATTGTTTTTGAGCAGTCATGAGTTGTTCTAATAAACATGTTCTAATAAATGTAGTAATAGCATAGTAACAGTAATATTCAAAACATTAACATGTTTCCACATTCACTCATTAATGATAATTTATTGATTAGATACAATATCGTTTTAGTTGAAAAGTGTTTTATAAGCTTATGTTCCACCAGGCTCAAATAGACCAGAGTGTAAAAATTTGATTTTGAATGCATTATGAAGGTTTGTAATAACTTCTGATTTCCAAAACCATTAAAGCTTAATTCATATTTTACACACACACGTGTGTGTGTGTGTGTGTGTGTGTAAACAAAAATATATATGTAGTTCATATGTTAACTATATAAAGTAATTTAGACAAAAATATATTTTTTTGTTCTCTGATGTGGTTTTAACCTTGCACTCAAGTACTTGTTCACTGACTTATCTCTTATTATGAAAGTGAGATCCTTTTAAATACTAAAATAAAGACTGAAAATGAGAAACATGTATAAAAAATGCCAAATGTATTTAATAAAAATATGTTCTGGTTCATAAATTAAGACATTAAGATTTTGGAAGCTCTTGCAAAGAAAAAAGTCATAATGAAGAGACCATTTTAAAACATAAAAACATATAATAATAACATATCAAATGATAAACTATTTTACATATAATAAAACCACCGGTCTTGGTACATTCTACAGTGCTTGAGCAAAGCCTCTCTTGATTACCATGTCAAATTGTAATGGCTTGCAAATCCAGATGTGTGTATAATGTATATAGCTGAAGCCACTGTAGAGCATACCAACTCATATAAAAAATTAATAACATTTGATTGCATTTCATTAAACAGAGAAACTTAAAAGAACATTTTGCATACACAATAAAAAAAATAAAAAAAATAAAAGACAATACTGAAAGTATCAATATCAATTGCTTTGCAGTCAATAAGTTTTATGACAGTCAATCTATTCTATCTCAGCTGATATAGAACTTGTCATAAATTCTGTGTTAGCAATTACACCGAAATTTTGCACAAACAGAAAAACAAAATTATGCTACCCCCAACAAATACTCCACAAAAATGGCGTGTATGGAAGGCACTGTACTGCATATTGCATAAACAATTTCAAAAACACGTCTCTACAGCTGATGAAGTAGCTTAAGACAATGCAATGCATTAAAGGAATACTGTAACACAGTGGATTGTTTAGATATGAATATCCCTTCAATAAGCCAAGCTATGTATAGTGTAATCAATATAAAATTATAATCGTGATAAATGTGTACATAAATGAAAACAAAAATAGCTTTGGGTCTTAGTTTACATTGATCAATCAAAGTATTACAACTTTTTTTTTTTTTAGAATAAACAATACTTTGGCACATGGGGGCACCCCATACAGATTCATAATAACAAAAAAAAATAAAGACATTTGGCAAAATAAATTTGTTACACAAAATATTCATACCATCAGTGCTATGTGGAAAAAGAATCAAGTATAGAGCAAGAACATGAGGTGCAAATCTTTGCAAAAACCTTCAGGCTTTTAGTGTAAGTGCTTGTTGCTACATGTGTAACCTGATTTGTCACAAAGAAAAGAAAGAATCAAGGTCTGCTATGACAGCTGCTTGCTTCCTAGATACTGTATTCAGCAGTCTAGCAGCCAAGGACGGGCTTCCCAAATCCACCTATAGGGAACGATTGACAATTGATTATTTACCATCTCAGGTAACGTCATAGTTAATGGGATAGTTCACCCAAAAATGTCATAATAACTTACTCTTTAAGTTCCACACCAGGGGCCTCATGTATCAACATTGCGTACGCACAAAAACACGGCGTACGCCAGCTTTCACATTCTACTAACAGTGAAATTAACGCAAGAATGTGCGTTCCTCCACGTAAACTTCATGTCTGGCGTACGTACATTTGTTGTGATTTTTGTCCGTTGGCGACTCATTGAGGCAATAAAGTGAAGTGGCAAACATTACACTACGAATTGTTCTATCGCACCACCAGCTGTCAGATATTGCTTATAATTTGTAATTGATAAATTATTTGACATATTATTGTCACACAAGTCTTATTAAAATATTCTATTATGCAATTAAGTAAGAACATATAAAGCATGTGCAAATTGATACAACCCGTGTAGCAATGTGTTGCAATGTGCTACAATGTGTTAGCCCGTGTTGGCTTAACTAGGAATAAAAAATAAACTTCATTAATTCGGTATAAAAATAAACTTCCTATATAGTTAAATAGTCTGGAATAAAAAAATAAACTTCATTAATTCGGTCAGTAAAGATAAAAAAAGAAAGTAATATTTGTATTCAGGAAGGACACATTGAATTTGTTTAAAAGTGACATTAAATGCATTTATAATGTTACAAAATATTTCTATTTCACATTTCTATATCTGTTTGATTTAAGTTTTTATTCATTAAAGAATCCTGAAAATACTATATCACGGTTTCCACGAAAATATGAAGCAGAAGCACATCTGTTTTCAACACTGATAATAATTATAAATGTTTCTTGAACATCAAATCATCATATTAGAGTGATTTCTGAAGGATCATGTGACACTGAAGACTGGAGTAATGATGCTGAAAATTCAGCTTTGATCACAGGAATAAATTACACTTTAACATATATTCACATAGAAGACATTTTCAGCGAAATTTCGTTTCTTGCTTGCTTTAGCCATGTTCTTGCAGGTTTCTTTTGCCAAATTGGACTAATTACCATATTTAAATTAATTTAATTGGGGGTGGAGACTGGGTGGGGCGTTGCGCTCGCGCATGTGCGCTCAATTTTACGTTAATTGGGATGTACAAAGAGAATATGCGTGGGATTCTTCGTACGCAGAGATTCATACATCTGGGTTTTTTTGTGCGTACGCCCATTTATAGCTTTGTCTGTACGCAATGTTTTAGTATGAATTCAACGCAAGTCTTTGTACATGAGGCGCTGAATACAAAAGAAGATATTTCGAAGAATGTCGGTAATCAAACAGTTCCCATTGACTTCCATTGTATGGGGAAAAAAGACTATGGAAGTCAGTGGGGTCCATCAACTGTTTGGTTACTGACATTCTTCAAAATATCTTCTTTTGTGTTCAGCAGAAGAAACAAACTCATACAGGGTTGGAATAACTTGAGGGTGCAAAAATGATGACAGAATTTTCATTTTTGGGTGACTTATTCCTTTAAGCAAGCATAATGCTAATGTAAACGCTCACGAGGGTAAACAAGCTTACTTGTAACAAGTAGATGACTGTGACAACCTCTCGACCATTACGCTGGCTGGGTTGAAGGATCCACGCGCTGGGTAGCATCTCACCACGGATAGTATCCACACTGGGACGTGGCAGTGACTCCTCAAATACAGACTGCATGGCCAGCACCCACATATCATCCTAAAGAAAAGAAGATGGATCAAAATGAATGCGTGATTAAGGTAAGGTACTTTTGGATAAAGCCATTCACAGAAAAGAGTATACAGAACACCTGTTTAGATTCTGTACTGAGGCAGCAGAAGTCCCGCGGCTGTTTAAGCTGGCAGTTGGATATGTCCATCAACAAATAGACTGATTGGAGAGAAAGACAGAGACAAATACAATCAGTAAAAGTACATTTTTGCTTTTGCCTGCATTTGAAGGCAAGTTGTAATCGTTACCTCTCTTACCTATTAAGCCCGCTGTTCACTGTATGGTTTTTCAATGAGATAATGTAATGACAGATTGTGTACAATGTGAACAGTGTTTCATGTCAGACATCTAGCCACGATTAGCCAGCATTAGACTAGCCAGCGTTGGCGAACCAGTCGCACAAACAGCACTGCGACACAGACACAACTCACGGGTATCGTATCGCACACAGGACAAGCCATTCTGTACTTGTGTTCTCAAGTTGAAGGCGACAGTTGAATCTAATCACCATACAGACAAAATTTCACTTTAAGAATGAACAAAGTGGCATTGGTTTGAGGTTCGGTGTCAGCGCAACAGAAAACATTGCAATCCATAGAAAACTATATGTTCGAAATTCATAAGTCCTATTGGTTCTTCAGTGCACACAAGAGCTGTAGGAGCTGTCACAATGTAGGAGTGTGATTCAAATTTTCTGACTCTGCCAGAACTTTGTCAGCATCTAGATTCATCAAGCACATGTCATACTAGGTCAGTGGTATTCAGTTAAAGTTCCAAGAGGTCCAGTCTATATATTTCCTTCCCAGCGGAGGTCCAGAACTTTTTTGGAACAGTTATACATTTCCATCAGGGCAGCCATAGTGCTTTGTAAAAGACTAAACACTTAAAATAGTCATTAAAGATGAGAATCTTGGGCCCTGAGAGCCAAAGCAGTGATGATTTTTAAGATTTTTCCCCAATATTACCAAAAGAAGTAAATATTTCTCCCAACTGGATATGAATATAAAAAGGTGAGATCAGATGTTTTATCAGGCTATTATTATTATTTTATATTTATTTATTTATTTATTCATTTGTTACATTTAGACACCTACGTGTATGGCACATAGAAAGCGTTGGGACTGAGAGAACATACTGGGGTCCAGGGTTTACCTCTTAAGAAAAGTATGGACCATTTTTATATTTATCTTAAAGGAGCTGTATGTAAGATTGTGGCCAAAACTAGTACTGCAATCACTGTCAAATTACTGTAGAGTGGTGTATCCCCTCCCCCTCCTCCCTGACTCGAGGTTGCCAGATCGGCTGCAGGATCCAGCAGGAACGTGACGAGCTGCAGCTGTGGTAACTAGAGCAGAGCTGGCAACCCGGATGCCGCAACACTACTGACTTCGTGATTGGTAGATAGGTGGAGGGTGGAGCATCAGACCAAAACACAACATGACAACATCAACATCAGTTGAGGGCTGCAACTGCACTTTTTAAATGACAATATCCTGGCCAGACTACTGTTGTCAGTGATATAAGTATTTGAAATGTACATGATTTCTTAATGTCTAGTGACATTTCAGGGCCATTTTATGATTAATTGAAATAAATTTCTTACATACAGCTCCTTTAAAGTAATAAACTACTAAAAACAAACACTGTACATAATCTAATAATCAAAGCTCTCATCATGAGCACAAAACAAAGTTAACTAGTAATTTCATAGTTTTTTGTCTTCCCTTGCCATCTCTAAATAATTTTCTAAATTATAACACTGTTTATTATGAAATGCTCTTAATATGCAAATTAATAATGCTAAATGTATATGGGGGAAAAAACATCTAAAGGTGCCACACGTTAACTTGTCACAAACCTGATTAAGTTAAATGGTCGGAGTCATCTGTATGACAGTTAAAAATAATTGATACATTCTCATTTTCTGCTGCATTTTAGCAAAAGTATCTATTTTGCTGCGCACCATGTTTCTGCTACTGTTCAAATATCAGTGTCATCTGCAGCTTTTAATGTGACGCTTTATGGGCCCTATTTTAACGATCTAAAACGCAAGTGTCAAGCGCAAAGCGCAAGTAACTTTGTGGCCGGATCTCGGCGCTGTTGCTATTTAACCGGCGGGATAAATGACTCTTGCGCTCGACGCAAATCTAAAAGGGGTTGGTCTGAAGTAGCTTCATTATTCATAGGTGTGGTTTGGGCGTAACCGGAAACAAACCAATAAGAGCGTCATATCACATTCCCTTTAAGAGCATGATGAACGAGGTGTGCTTGTTCCATGGCGTGATACTATTATAACGGCGCATTTACCAGGCGCGCTTCAGAATCGGTTCACAGCCGAGGAGATCAATGTTCTCGTCAGGGCCGTAAAAGAAAGAGAAGTGACATTGGGGATGGGACAAACCCACCCAAATTAGCTTTGGTTAAAAATGCATATAATAATTTGCTTTATGCCTATTTTTCCCATCGTCATGGACACAACAATGATTTGATTTCCCTCGTGTTTTAATATTTTTCCTTATAATAATGTATCATTTGCAAAAAGTAAAATGCATCTGTGTAGATGAGAGAATCATCCACAGTGTGCGCGTTGTTCACACTCTGTATTATGCCAAGCATGCGTGCTTAAAATGGCATCTGAATGTACGCGCAACGCGCCGTTTTCTGGCGCGTTTTCTGCGCAATTGTTTTCTGGAACTGCAAAATAGCACCAGGGATTGTTTGCGCCGGAACACGCCTCCTTTTTTGCGCTGAACCACCCAGGGAGCGCAAGTTCATTCCCTAGTTTGCCGGCGTGTGTCTGTGGAGGGAAAAGTCCGCTTTGCACGGGTGCAAAATACGAATGATACATGCGTCGGTGTACAAAGTCAATTGCGCTGGGTGCAAGATAGGGCCCTATGTCTTTAGCAGGAGAGAGAAGCAACACGCATGGAGCGGAAAGGGCTTGAATAAAGCGCGTATCGCTCTAGATAAAAATATTACAGGATGTACCACCAAAAGGTCATCATATTAAACAACCCTGAGCACTTGTGGTGTGTACCGCTCCGTTGTTATGACACACTGTTTACTTTAAACTGTAGAACTTGTAAAATGCCAAAGGTATGTCCCGTGGTCTGAATGGAAACTCCAAGCCGGAGTCCGGAACCGGTTCCCTATTTGAATACCACTGTACTAGGTGATCAAAAACTCACGAGTTTACCCTAAGACAACAGAAATCCTTTACGATCCCAGAAATTTGTCTCAGATAGCAAAATCGTACAGTGTACACTGGGATTTACCTAGTTGTGTGCATTCGTCCAGTGGTCGTGTCCAGGCAGATTTAATAGACTCGTGGTAGAGGTGAGTCTTTGAATGATCTCGAACTATACACCACAGACTGGCCAAAGGTCTCTCCAGCTCTACTGCTCCAAGAAACCCGTGAGCTGAGGGTCTGGAAGTAGCCTTGTGAAAGACTTGAACACCTCTCTCCACGCCTTGATGCCTTGGGAGAAACGGAACTTGAGGACGGAATCCATGTAAAAGATTTATACATGCACAATATGTATATTAGTGTACCTCCAGCCAGAAGCTGCTTTCCCAGCCAGCAAATTCCTCGCATTACCTCCAGAGGCCAAATATACCTAAAAAAGACAAGTAAGTCCATGAAGTATTTCACATTGACACGCTCTTGCATATTTTGAAACTTCAGTAAGTTGGAGTAGCATACTTCGGAGAGAGCACTGGCAAGAGTGCAGTCTGCGATATCCTGATATGAAGTTGATATAGACGAGGGAGAGCCAAAGGATAGAGTGCGTTGTCGAGCACAGGGAGGAGGTGATGGAGTAGAGGAAGACTCAGGCTCATATCCAGTGACCGATGTCTCCAGGCTGACATCTAGAGATAATAGTGGATCTGATGAATTAAGTGAATTCGAAGCATATCCCTTGGGTTTCCAATTGTTTATGGGTTATTGCTCACCCTGGACTGACAGCCATCTACGCTGAGCTTTTGAAGTCTGCAACGGGATCATAGGAGGTCGAGTCCTTGCTTTGAATTCTGAGGCTCCATTTATCTGAGGAATGAGGTGAAGAGCTTGAAAAATAGCTTTCTAAATTAAAATACACTTAAACACACTTTTTAGTGTGGTGCCTTACCTGTATTAATGGTGAGGTAATGTCTTTCAGTATGGCAGCATTGCTGCTGTTATACCCTGAAGTGGGCCCTGAGGAAAGACTCAGGTTTGAACCACTACATAAAGTACTGTTACTAATGCGTGTGCGAAACAGCAGGTCATCCTACGTAAGACACAAGGAGAGAAGGAAAGAAAATATGAAACGATTTCTAAATAAGACAAGGCCAGCAATACTTAATAAGAATTAAGAATGATCAAGTGCCACTGACCTTGACTGCCTGCGAGAGAGCTTGCTGCTGTATTCGTCTCTTCTCCTGTTCGGCCCTCTCACGGAGTCGATCTCGTGCACGGGCAATCTCTACTCTTGCCTCCTCGCGGGCTCGGCTGTAGTCACGCAATAGAAGCTCAATATCAGATGGACACTGACCCTCCCGCCTTGGTGGATCAGGAACTCTGGGGAAGAACATCTGGTTTAGTATATAGAATTATAGAATATTATCTTTTGTTTAATGCATTTCCAAATCACCTGCTGGTTTCGACAATCTCTTGTCTGAGCTGCTGCAGATATTCCTGACGTCTGCTAGGCAGGTCTGAAATTCTTCGAGATTGCTCCTTCTCATTATTTATAGGGATCCGATGCTTACTGGGACTGAGACTCCGAGCACGACGACACATCTGGAGACGGGCTTCTCTCTCTTTTCTCAAACTGTCAATGCTCTTCCTATGCCTTAGACAGAATAGAATTCCATTCATAACAATCTCTGTAAACTAAAGGTGCTTTCACATTAGGTTCAGTTTCTTAGTTGGTCCAAACCAGAGTTTGATTGTTCCACTCTCCCCCTGCCCCCACTGGATTGTGTACACACTGTATTTTTTTTTGTTTTGTTGTGTTGCTACTTAATGACTACACAGGAGAAGACGGTAAAATGCATAGAGTTTGCTCATCTCAGTTTTGTACTTTGATTTTAGGGAAAAATCGGGTCTATTGGAGACGTCAAATAGATTTCTTAGGCGTGCCAAAAGAACACCACAGACACAGTACAATGAATCAACATGGGAAAATCTCACAGTAAAACAAGCAGCTGTGCAAAATATGATCCACCGGTGATTTGCCAGATGAGAAGTTTATCTATGTATAATCTTTTTACTCTTTTAATTATTTTTATAACTGTATCCACTGTGCGTCCGACTGATTGCACTGTATTCCTCCTTTTGATTCTAAACTGAACTCCAGTGGCACTGAGAATTGGGTAAGAGACAAACATAAATGACTTAATTGGGGAAATTGAGAGATGAAACCATGCTGATGATGTAATTAAACTCGGGGTTCTGTGGGGTGCGGACTGGATCGATTCCGTTCATACAGGGAAAAATCTGGGTCTATTGGAGACGTCCAATAGATTTCTTAGGCGCGCCGAAAGAACACCACTGACACAGTGTAATCACCATGTGAGTAAAACTGGGAGCTGTGAAAAATATGATGCAATGTTTTTTTTTGCCAGATGAGAAGTTTATCTATGTATCATATTTTTACCCTTTTTATAACTGTTTTAATTTTCCTTGCTTTTATTTTGTGATTATTTTAATTCCTTTCTGTGTAAAGCACTTTGAATTACTACAGTGTATGGAATGTGCTATATAAATAAACTTGTCTTGCCTTGCCTTGCCTTTTGAACCTTTGATTTTGTTTTTCAAAGCATCAACACAGAAAGTTACTTACATCTATCTGCTATAAATGTATTGCAAAATCAAATTCTGCTGGAGTCATTCACATCATCCAAACAAACCAAATTCTGACATCAAACAAACCCGGGTACATGCCAAAAGTGCTAGTGTGAAAGCACCCTAAATGTCAACTGTCAAAGATTATAATATAACTAAAGAAAGCAAAACTTTAAAAATGCAGAACATTGTAATACTTAAAATACCTAAATCACAGATTATACAGACCTGTTAAGGAGCTCCTGTTTGTTACAGGCTGAAGATACTTCTTTAGAACCAGACTTGAGCATTTTAAGCAGAGTGTCTGTTTCCCCTTGGCCATAGTGCAGCCTGGCCTCTGTGAGTTCAACAGTCAGCTGATGAGGGCTCAGATCCAGATGTACAGATGCTAAAACCTGTTCACGTTCTTTCCTCAGCTTCTCAATTTCTTGTGTTCTCCTATCCGCTTTCTCGGATGGCTCTTGTCTATAGACAGCACTAGGGCTTTGTGACTCCATTGGCTGGCGGTAACTGGGACTGAGCCTTGTGTAGTGATGTCCAGTTGGTCTGTTTATTTTACTAAGCGTTGATGGTGCCTGCTGACTGATGCCAGACCAGTTAGTAAATTTATTGTGCATGGGCAGATCATCAGGGATCCACTGATATTCTCTGAGCATGCTGGTCTCTGCCAGAGGATTGATGCTGACCAGAACATCTGTGTTGCAATCGCTTGGCACCAGAGACATCACATCATCTTCCTGCGGTTGCATTGTACTTTGATTCGAATGATCCCAACACTTTATTATATACTCAGATGATCTGTGACTCAACTGGCTTTTCACAGCTGAGAAATGAGGCCTTTCTGAAGTTTCCAATTTAGATGGTCTAACTTGAACTGAGGATGATGCAAGTTGGACACCAATGGTACTGCTTGAAGGAGAGAGGGAGATTCTTTGTAGGTGAGATGGAGAACAGTTAATAGTGGGTTGACTTATTACTCTGTCCTCAACTTCACGAGAGTATTCATTTCTCTCATTTTGCATACATTTGCTTCGGGGAAAGACGTTATTTGAGTAGTCAGATCCATTTAGATTTGGACAACTAAGGTCACTCTGGTTTTCAAAGGTCACAGATGATACTGATGTAGACATTGTTTTTGCATTTTTACTGTGAAGGTTCTCCTGAGCTAGTACTATATTTTCATGTTTAGACATTTTATGACCTTTTAATTGCATGTTGTATACTTTTGAACATTGTTTCTCTGCGATATGTTGTCCCTCAGTTGTCTTATAGTTTATTAAACCATGGGTTGTTTTTATTTGTCTTTGCTGGGTGTTTCTTGCAGCCTTCACTGTAAGGATAGGGGAGCATGCACGATCCATGAGCATAATGTGTTTATTAAAGCATGTCCTCTGGTCTACATTTCTGTGATAAGTCTGATTATCCTTTTGCTTTATATGTGAGTGTTTCTTATAAGAATGATCTACAGTGTCACCTTCAAAAGCTTCCAAAGTGGAGGAATCCAGATTCGGCACAATAGTCTCTAATGAAAGAACCTTTTGGGGAGGAATCTGAAAATTTTGACTGTCATTTCCCTTTGAGCCTTTGGGATGTAAATCGGGCAGGCTTTTAATTCTTTCAAAGGCTTGTTCATTTTCTGCATCACCATCTAGCTGGGACACATTGCAAATATCTGAGCCAATCACTTTGACAATAACATTTACTTCATGGGACGTAGCATTCTTTGACACTGAAGCATTCTCTGTCTGGACCCCAATATCCAATGAAGTTTGTGTACAACTGTCCATCTTGTGGTTGTTGCCAGAATGCACAGTAGAAACATGGAAACAGTGTTTAGGACAGTCATATTTTGGTGGCCTTTCTCCTGTTCGCATACACTGTATGTTCCCCAGAAGATCAGAGGTGTTGTGTATCAGGTCAGAGAGATGTTCAGACATGTTCTGTAGACTTGCCCATGTGGTTGGGGCACTATTCCCCGGTTTGGACACTGGTGTCTGGGTGCTGCTTCTTCTGTGACGGCTCTTTCTTTTAAGGTCCTTATTAACCTCAATGGTCTGTGTGCCATGATCACACCTGCTTGGACTCGGATGTTCCCGAGATTCATACTCAGAGGAGTAGACCAGGACTATTTCGTCAACTTGACCTGAACTGTGGCGTAACTCCTCTGAGGCACCACTGTAAGAGTCACATTTCAATGCAGTTAGGGTCTGCTTATTTGAACAACAAGAGGAATAAGTAGCATCTTTCAGCAGAGGCTCAGAAGAAATTTGATCTCTAGAATATCCATTACCACTCATTGTGCTAGAGAGCCCTTTATGATTTACATAAGTGCTCAAATGGGAACTGAAAGGTGGGTCCTGAATATTTAGACCATTGTCTACACTACAGCACCTGGTCATATTCTTGTTGGAACTATTAAGTGGAGAGTGTTGGCAGGATATACTAGCAGCACTTCCAAAGACCTGCTTTTTGGGGACTGCTGTTTTCACCCCTATAGTAGTTCTTGTATGAATAAATGGGTTAATATCACTTGAAGCAAAATGCATTGCAGAATCCCTTGTCTGTGTTTGTGTCTTCTCAAGTGCATGTGCATGGTCTTTCACACAAACATCTAAAATATATTTTAAAGAAGCATTCATCCTGAAAGTAATGTCTTCATCGCCCTTTGAATTATTCATCTCTGTCTTTTGCATTTCTTCAGTGGAACCAAGCTCTTGTTGACATGCAATTGTCTCAATCTCTGCTTCCCCACGTAAGGAAACTCCAAACACAGAGGGTGTAATTCCTGTGTTAGGCTGCTGGGTATATCTCTTTTTTGGTTGTGCTTCTAATGATCTTGGACTAATTCTTGAAGCTAAAGGAATGCTTTCGTTATGTGGAGGCTTTTCGTGTTTGCCAAGGACATTTTGTCTGCTAGCAAGCAGGTTTGCCTGTGAAGAAGGTTTGGTATGAGAAACATGACTTTTAGATCTGGTACTCTCATCTGAGGATAAATCAGGTGTAGAATCAGTGGATGAACTTGGAGGTGCCATAAAGTGGGCCCTTCTGCTTCGCTTTTGTTTTCCTTTCCGTCTATCATCATTGCCAACAAAATGTTTTGTAGCATCTGATGTTGTGCAATTTTCTCCTCTACCTCTGTCTGTAGATTTACATCTGTTATAACAATCCTTTGTATTTTGACTGCAAGGAGTCGGTTTTGTGCTGTGGCATACCTCAACAGTTGATGAGGGATTGGCCACAGATTTATCAGGTTTACAAGTTGACTGGTGACTTGACTGGTGATTTTTAGGCATATATGGATCTTGATTTTTCATTGGTTGGTAACCAAAACTTTGAATCCCTTTGATGTAACTATTGTTATACTGAGATTTAATCACACATTTCACATCATTACTTGTGCAGATGGACTGATTCTCTGATTGTAGATCCTTGTCAACTTTTTCAATATCACCGGTTTTAAGCACATTGTGCATTTGTGGTCTTTGTGATGCCTGATGGCGTAAATCTGAAATTGTAGGATCTTTTCTGAAATCTTCAGAGTAACTGTTAGGTATGTGCTCCACGGATCTTACTCTGTCTTTATCACTACTACTACTGATAGTAGTGGTAATGTTTTCCAAGGAATGTTTAGAACAATTTTTATCTTGGCTTACAAAACCGGTATCTTTTCCAAGGTTTCCTGGACCAAATTCATAAAACGCTAGCTTGCTTAAAGGCCGGGCTTCAGGAGCAGGGTAATTCTCGTCCACTGCTGAATGGTCATGTTCCATACTTGATGTTGTAAAATTATATGAACGTGTTTTGTTATTTTTTACCTCTGAATTAGGTAACGTTATAGCACTGTCTTCCATGGTTTGCTGACATGTGTTAGCCATATCACTATCTGTCTCTTCAGAGAGTAAACCTGAGACTGTATGTTTTACTGTTGCTTCGGTAGGTAATGACACCTGAGGAATGTTGCATTGACTGGACATTACAGGAGTTGAGATCTTCACAAAACAGTTTTCACTCAGTGAACATTTGGTTTCATTCAAAAGTCTTGAATGCCCATGTGTTAGTGGTTTATTATCAAATTTGTGCATTTCCATTGAGGTCGGCACACTTTCATTTTGTTTTGTTTCATTGTTGACAATCTGTGCATTCAGATCTTTCTGGACTTTATCTAATCCATTTGTCAGCTTAAGAGATGGAGTAGCTTGTGCATACATGCAGGGTGGCTTTTGAACAGGGTTTGAAGCATCAATGTACTTTCTTAGTTGGGTGCATACAATAATGTTCTCTCTTGATGTATTCAACCCAATAATAGTTTCCTTAACGCAAGACAACACTGATTCACTTGAATTTACTCGATCTGTGCTCTGTGCCTCTATAGTACAATATGGTACGGACTCCACGTTTTCGTTAATATATCCACATTTAGGACTTTCTTGTTCTGCTTTTCTCTCTGTCTTCCTCACAATAAACTCTTCCGTGCCATTAGAGTTACTACTCATAGTCAAAGAATGTCTTGATTCTGTTCCATTCTCCAAGTGCACAGTAGTGTTGTCCGTATAATTGTCTGATTTTGCCATACGTGAGAAATGCTGGGAATTACTATTTTCACCATGTCCATCCTGAGTACTTTTGTAATCAAATTCATAGTTGTTTGTCTTGGACTTGAAATCATCCAGTTTAACAAAAGAAGCGTTTTCTTTCTTTGTGTCCAACTCGTGATCTTCACCACAGCCTTCTCTCAGAGACAAATTAAAGTGTTCTTTCACCACCTCTGATATTTTATCATTAATTGCAGAGTTGCTCATTTGAAAATATCTGTTATTGAATGTCTTTCTCTCCAAAATCTGAATTGCATATTTTGTATCCTCTTTACAGTTGTCATTAATGTTTTTAATCTCAGGACTCCTAGAGGATTTCAGGCTATCACAATTTGTTGGTGTCAATTCACTATCGAATGTACTGCTGTCATTTCTAAAAATATTGATGTGATCTTTGCTGAATAAATCCTTGTGAGCATCACTAGTTGGTGATGCACTTTCCATTTCCTTCTCTTTAAGCTCTTGATCAGAGTTTTCCATCTTAGTGAGCAAATTTTCCAAAACAGATAAATTTTTTACTGATTCACTGTTGATAGTTGAACAAATAGACTGTTCCTGATTCATATTTAAGAGTGTTGTCTCAGTGTCTGAAACATCATCATTTTTCTTTGATAGATTCATATTTCCCACAAAGCTTTTCATTTTACATGTTCCAGTGACTGACTCATTCCCCAACTGGACACAAAAGCGTTCACCATCTCTGCCAAAACTATTAACTTCTTCATCATGCTTTTCTGATTGTTCGATTGTCAAGGCATAATTTTTGGTATCTTTTATGCAAGCCATTTCAGTGCACTGTTTTGTGTAGAAACAATTATTTTCTTCATCATCCGTGGTTTTGCCATGGTCATTGCTTGCATTGATGAGTGGTTCATTTAGAATCGGTGTTGCTTTTGAGTTCTTTACTTCTGGATCTCCTGCATTGTTGTATGTTGAAACCTGATAACCAATTGTTAGGTTTAAGTTTGACTTCAAAGAAGAATCCTCAGGGTACATTGGATACGATGATGGGTTTTCCTCACTATTATGTGAATCTTTCCTACTCAAGTTAACTGGTAAGCACTTTAAAATTCTAGTATCTGTTGAGATGTCACCATCTTTGGAACAAGAGTTAGTCACCAATGCTTCAGTCACAATGGGATTCAGTGATTCATATTCAGTGGTTAGTTTATTTGTGTATGCTACCCCATCTGGTTTGATATCTGTAGAATCACACACTGTGTGAGTTATACATGGTTCTGCATTGGTAATCAGCTTCTTAAAATCCATCTCCTGCCCTAAAACTATAAAACTAGAATTACTCTCATTGCTATCAAACAACAAGGTATTCTCAAAGGACGTGTTATTTTGTTCTTCAAGTGTTGCATTTTCATCCTGAGTGGAGACAGAGCGAGGTGAGCTCTGGCTTTCTGAGACATTCATGTTGTCTGACAGATCCAGACTAGTAGAGCCTTGGCATCTACTTCTCTGTGTGTGTGGATCCTGTTTTAGCAAGTGTCCTGAAGCCCTGATGGTTCTGGGACTGTCTGCTGCATCAGTGGATGACCAAGCATCAGTAAGAGCAAGAGGATTCTCTGTTTCTCTGATACTGGCACCACTACAGGGTCTAGATTCAGACGCTTGACAAGAGCCTTGGCCATTCATCGGTTTCAACTTTTGACTACCATTTAGGCTCCAGAAAACCTCTGCAGGTACATCTTTGGATATTTTCATCTCCTCTTTATTGCCGATTGACTGAGAGCTGAATGACGCCGATGACGGATGTGAGGTTAAGTGGCTTGGAACTTTTTTAAACCTGAGCACTGGTCTGGCAGTTACATGCTTTCCACTTCTCTCCATAACAAGAGAATCTTGAGACATCCGACTGTCTTCACTCTCAGCTTCACTGGAATCATATTCCTCTTGCTGAAGCTGCTCAGACAGAGCTGTAGCATAAGCTGACGACAGCGAATCCAATGAGAAAATACTATCACAATCTGAAGAACCATTGGGATCCTCCCCACCACATTGTTTCATCCACCCAGCTGCTTCTTTTTGCACTGCAACAAATTGCTTGGTACTCGTCAGAGCTTCTGCACTATGCCAGTGCCTTGGTTGCTTATTTTTTAGTGAGCTAAGCTGCTCCAAACTTTCATAAGACATTGTTGATTTGATGGGGCACTGTTCCTGTTTTTTCTCGAGGTCTTTCACAGACTTATTTTTGTTTGACTTCTCATTTAATTGACATATCACTTGGTTAACAGATTTCACACGTCTATGTCCCTTCGAGCCTGATGGTGGCTTGCGGAAAACTTTTGCCAAGGCAGTCCTGAACCCAGAACCAACAGAGTGTGAAAAAACCTTGCGGATGGTCTCTAAACTTTTATTTCCACCTTGAGATAGACTCTTTGTTCCCTTAACAGTAGTTTTCTGTTTTATTATAGGTAATACTTTTCTAGTGCTTTTGGTGTTTGAATCCAGACAATGCTTGTATTGGTCACTTGTGCTTTTCTTGACTAACAACCTTGAGGAAGCAGTTTTTGCTTTTTTCGCTTCAAGTGAATTTGCATCTTTTAAAGGGCTTTTGAAGCTGTCTGAGAAACTGGCCCAACTTGAGGAAACTTGGTCATATCTTGAGGGCATTGTGTTTGAACGCCGTCTGATCTTTTGATCTTGGAGACATTCATCAGATTCCCATTTAGTGGGACAAGCTAAGCCACCTTGAGATGCTGTACACTCAGAAGATGTATTCCTTTTAAGGAATTGGCTGTTTGGAGAAAAAGGAAAATACATTTTTTTAAGTAAAAACAAAATATACTGTTCTTGGTGTAATGATAGTGATTATTATTTTAAATTAAATGTTATCTTCACATGAATAAAACTTTGCTTATTAAAATTTACTACTTCCTTCTTTAGACCAGGTAAACTTAAAAAAACAGACACAGGGGTCTTATTCACAAAAAAAATAAAAACAATTTTTGCCTAATTCACAATGCATACACACATGAATTTGTTCTTCAGCTCGTTCTAATGTTAATACATTTATTATATAAATGAAGTGAGGTATCATAAGCAATCGTGTCCACAAGGCAAGTAATTTGCATAAAACATGCTCAAACCATCTCTATATAAGTACTTTCCACACAAGCTTTAGTTTAGAGCCTTTCTTCATTCTCAGCAAACATAAGATGCTCTCTAAAGATGCACTCTGGCCTGAGAGCAGTGGCAGCAAGATCCTAAAGAAATGCCGATCCTCAAAACCAGTTCAAACACAATAAAACCTTATATACAGACCCAGGTTACGGACCTTTTATTAGCCATCTCTAGATGTGCGTATCTGAGATTTTATTCAGAGGAACCTCTCTGCTTGAGCTATAATGCCCATGAGAGTACATGGTTTTTGTGTACATGTGGTTTCTGTTGTTCCAAAAAAATGTCATGAATTGAGAAAAAAAAAATGTGTATGAAAGTTATAGATGAATCATGTTTTTTTTTGTGAAAACGTTCATATGCAGATTTCACACAAATTTGTGCGTATGCACGGTTAGTGAATGAGACCCAATGTTAGTTATTCACCTGGTTTGCACCTACCTAAAAATGGGAGTGTGCTGGGGATACAATCGGGACAGCAGATCAGCAGAAAAGGAATGCCTTCGTAAAGTCATTGGACGTCCCCTGAACTTTGAGGAGCACCCCAGTTCTGGAGACAAGGCTTCATCGCCTCCTTGTAGAAGTTCATTTTCCATCCTCTGCAGCTCTCGCTTAGCCTCCAACAGATGGCGCTTTCGTGCAATCTTCTCCAGTTGGTAATGTAACCTTTTGCGGCGCACACGGTTCTCAGCTCTGCGCAATGCATGATGCTTCAGCAGTTCCTCCTGCACCACCCTTTTCCTGTCACCCATTAAGAGTGACGGAGGGACTGTTTCAACACTGCCTTCTTTCTCAGTCCCCTGACTTGATAAACCAATAGGAAGAACGAGATCCGTCTGAACCCCTGACTCAAGTGTTCCCTGTTCCCTGTGGGCTGCAAGCCGTTGCTTTTCTTGCAAGATCCACCGCTTGACTTTAGATGCAAAAGAAACCAGAGTTTAGAGAAGCACAAGGCTTTACAATTGAAACAACAATTTGAAAGGACAATTTCTTAGTTACTGTCAGGTATTCAAGGTTCATTTGCTTTAGTATTTGACAAGGGTGAAAGGTTTTAATCCATTACTTAAAAGCCTATGTTTTAAGTTCTTTGCTGAAGAACATAATATAGTATTTCAGGGCAACCTTTCTGAATGCTATAAAAATATCAGTAATCTCTCTTAAAACAAACATGCAATTCAGCATTGAATCCAGCATTTAAGCACAACTCAGTGTGTTTTCTGTACTCACTCTCAGTATACTGCTGTCGGAGACATGCCTGCTCTCTTTCCAGATCTCTTTCCGCTCTTTTCTGTTCCATCTGAATCTCCTCTCCTAGACACTCTATGTACCACTGCTGCTCCTCTAGTCGATGTCTGGGTGCTGTCCCATTGCCGCTCTCATTAACACTTGCTTCAACCCTGAGCACACAACAAACGCAAACTCTACGGATGATGCACTAATCAACCAGAAAATGACAGATAGTGCTGAAAACTTAGAGACCTTTTAACACACGTCTAATTTACTTCCATTGTTCATTTCTTTTGTTTTCTACATACTCCCTGTAGTAACCAAGCAACACCATGACAACTCTATAAACAATATTTTCTCCAGAGGGCTCATTACCAGAGGAACATTTAGAAACATCATGAACTTATACAATATATATATATATATATATATAGTTAGAAAATGTACTGGTTTTGAATGAACAAATCATATTTACCTGATGTCAGAACTGGGTAGGCTGAGCTCTGTAGAGCTGTAGACCAAACCTCCTTCACTGGTCTGCAAAGACCAAAATTGTTCATTATTTCCATTAATTGCATTACATAAAAAATAATGCCATTAGACATTTAATTAACCTCATGAGTTAATTAATTAATTAATTGTATGTTAACTTTGAAAGCCCTAAAAAAATACATTAAATACCTCAATAAATCAGATTTTTCTCAACTGATTTGGATCAGAGACATTATTTTTCAGAAGGTTTCTACCTTGACTAGGCATTTAGATTTAAGAAAAACAATTACTCTGAGTTTATTACAAAAACAGTGCACTAGCACAAATCAAACTAATATCTCTAGGAAAGTAACTTAACGTTCTTAAAGTCTCCCATTAAAATTGCCCACTATTTAAGTAAATAAGGCTGACTGGGTAATAAATTAAAAGTTGACCTACAAAATATGCTAATAAACTGAAAAAAAAGCCTATAAACCAGGAATATTAATTTTTTTAGGACCACTGAGTAAAAACCTAAAGGTATAGTTCACCCAAAAATCATTTACTCACCCTCATGTCATTCCAAACCCAAAAGTAGATATTAAATAGATTTTTTTAGACTAGTAAGAAGATATTTTTCATTTTTGTACGTAATATTTCACATCAAAAAGTACAAAAGACATTGTTCAAATATTCCAGTTGAATAGAGTGGTTTAATCCAAATCTTCTGAAAAGACATGATCACTTTATATGATGAAAAGATTTATTTTAACCTTTTATTCACGCCAGTGAGCATACGCAGAGATAATCAAACATGTTTGCTTGACATGCAAGAACAAATCTCATTGGTTCTTGTGGAAGCTCAAATGTGATTGCGTCACATGCAAGAACAAACCTCATTTGTTCCTGTATGTCAAGCAAGTGCTGCATGTACTTTTAGCCCTCGTATCTCAAGGTAATTTTTAGTGGATATATGCATTACAAAGCATGGACTGTACCCGTCTCCTCTCCCTCAGAACAGCCGCCTCTGCAGGATGGTTGAACCTAAACTTATGGAGTCCTCCTAAGGTAATCACTGCACCTTAAGGGAAATAGAGATACACAATAATACATCAGGATAATCAAAATATGTAAACACATTATTTTGTTTGTACATGAAATAGGTATGAAGGGTTGTTTTCTGCACATTGCATTTACCTTGTGCAAGTCTGCAGGGCTCCGTGATTTCTCTGTCATTGACCATGCAGATGTTCCCTGAGACAGCCTTCAGAGTCACCACCCCGCTCTTATTTCCGATCTCACAGGAGGAACCTTCTGGCAAGACTGAGGGTTTGAGGTGCAACTTAATCACTGGTGTCCACTTCAAACAATTATATTGCCATATACAGGTCTTCAGACTGGTATCAACATTTTGCGATGTGACAAAATATGCATCTCTGACCACCTCCGAAATTGGTTTTAGTGACCGGATCACAAGACGCAAGCCTAAATACAGTCACCACAGGAAAAAAGCTAAACGTAGGCTATAGACAAACTACACCAGTTTGTTTCATGACTTCAACATAACCATTACTAAGCTTCTGACCACTTTTTGTTCCCTGAAAGTTTAAGATATAATAATTGCAAGAGCATGGTTATAAACACAATGAGGCTGTGAAAGTGGACTCGTCAGTAAATGAGTTTTTATAATGTTTGTTCATAAAGACATTTAACGCCCCCGACAACCTCAGTAGTCTGATTTAGCCACTTGTTAGCAACCACCTTTTAAAGATGGGTAAAAGCTTTTTTAAAAATCACAAGGGGTATTACTGATGTATTTTACGTCTTAGAATAAAACATAAAAATATTTTGAGTTTGTGTTAACCACAGACCTGATTTCAGGCATTTAACCAAAAACCCCATTCAAAAAACCTGTTGATTTCATGGCAATGAAACCAGAAGTTCTAAAATATTAACTTTTTAGAGGTCACAGGTTTTGCCCTACAAAATTGCATCATCCCTGCAAAACTCTATTTACCACTGTTAGTGCCAGAAGTAAACGGACCATAGTACTTAAAGATGTTGAGATGAATATGAGATACCTATGTGAGGCTCTTCCAGATTGTCGCCCTGAGGTCCAATTCTTGTCACCCCTTCCTATAGCACCAAAATGAAACAAACATTAAAAGGAGTTAAAGTGAGCATTTAGTGCATGGCCAGAATGAAACCTTTTCTTCTTCCATTTCATAATTTTTGTTTCTTTCACACCTCAAAGCCTAGCACAGGATTTGTCTACGGTTTATAAAGGATAAAAAGCCTGCTTATATAAGCTTGGTTCCAAGGGCGCACAATCATTCCCAGGTGGTTTTAACTTTTAAAGCAAGGAAACTGCTGAAATTGCAGTCTTGAGATTTTTTTTACAGGCTATCAGGACTAACCTCTTCGCACAGATTTACATACACCACTGAGTAACTCACTAAAATGTTCCAGCACAAATCACACAAAAGTACGAAAGAAGGAAAGTTAAAAGGAGAGGGTGAATATCTGGACCACATGACCATAGCTCTGGGCTGTTTTACCTTCCTGTGAGAAGAATCTCAAGAGTTTTGCACACAGAACAAGAAAAGAAAAGACAGAAGAGAAATAAAGGTGAAGGGAGAATCTATTGGAGGGAAAAGAGAAAGAATCATTGGTTAATGACCCGAAAGAGCAAAGGATTTTGTAGAGCAAAGACTAGCCGAAGGCAATATGGATGTGACAGGAAAAAGCAATGTATAACTAGCTGAATAATTCTACCCGAAGGTGGTAGATCGTGACGCCTGTGCTGAGGACGTCTGGCTCTAGAGCGATGAGGTGGGGCAGAAGCGAGCGGATAAGAACCCCTGCCCTGTCCTGGTTAATGTCCACACTGTAGCGCTCCAACAGAGCTCGCTTATCACGCCAACTGTCAGACCAGTCTTTAGTCAGCTGCTCCACCTGCAGAGGAAACATGAGCGACTGTGAAAAAAGCAAGTGAAAAGACAACTGGAAAACACACACACGCGCACACACAAAAACGACAAAAGTGAATCATCCTAGGAAGACAGTAACATGAGAAGGGTTACAGAGCAGTTACAGAATTCCTTATAAAAGTACAATACTATTCAAAAGTCTGGGTTCAGATTTTAGTTTTTTGTTTAGAAATAAATACCTTTATATAAAAAGACTTTTATAATGTTACAAAAGATTTCTCTTTCAAATAAATGCTGTTCTTTTGAAATTTCTTTTCATCATAGAATCTTGAAAAATATATTTCACAGCTTCCACAGAAATATTAAGCAGCACAACTGTTTTCAACATTGATAATTATAAGAAATGTTTTTTTGAGCAGCAAATCATCATATTAGAATGATTTATGAAGGTCGGATCATGTGACACTGAAGACTGGAGTAATGATGTTGAAAACTTAGCTTTGCCATTACATGAATAACATTTTAAAATATATTAAAATACAGTTATTTTAATTTTAATAATATTTCACAATACTACTCTTTTTACTGTATTTTCTGTTATAGTAATTATGAGGAAACGGTCACATTGCAAGATATAAAGTTGCAATTACATGAAGTTAAGTCACGATAAAATGCAGCCTTGGTGAGCATAAGAAACTTCTTTCAAAAACATTTAAAAATCTTATCGACCACAAACTTTTGAACAGTAGTGCATATTAAAAAACACAGACTCCAGCGTTTCAAGGACGTGAACTAACCTTCAGTTCATTCTGTAGGACTATATCAGACAAGCTACCTTCTCTCTCATCACTGAGAGATGGACTGGGGTTCCTCTGCTGTGGATGGAAAAAAAAATGAGCAGTCAGCAACTTTTGTCTTATACGAGTATGGAAATTTGGCTAACATCATTGGCATTGTGACACCATATCCTAACCAGGCACCTGACAAGTGTCCATTCCTAAGCAGCAGCAAAGAGCACAGGACAAAAAGACTGGTTTCTGTTATTGCTGATGTGAAATCTCATATGTCCAGATTCTCACTCCATATAGTTAATTAGTAAACCTCAAATATGTTCTAAATGGCTTGACAGGTTGGTCTTTTTTTAAAGAAGATACTACATAATAATTTGGACTCAAAAAAAAAAATCAAAGCTGTACTATATGTCTAAAGTTGTATTCCAAAATTGAAGTTGATGTCACACAAATTGAGCCCGCTAAGTTTTAAAGTTCCATGTCCAATTTTAAAACAGGATGCATTTTCAGTGTTTATGCATTCAAAAGATATCAATGATGATTACTAAAATATGTAGACAATGAAAAAGTCAGGACACAGTTCTAATACCATTGCAAAGTTGAGCAGCATGCTCTTCAGACGATCAATTTCCTCTCGCAGTTCTCTGATCAACCTCACATTGGCGTCCTGAGGTAAAACAAGTTTTTTTTTTAGTTTCCTTAACCTTAGCTCACAAGAAAAACATGTTCTGCAGACATTTTGAATGCATTTGGACAAACCTCATTGACTCTTGGCTTGTTGACGATGTTCCTGGCATGAGCTGCATAGCGGAGGGTGCTCAGAGTCTCATTGTAGCTGCTGCTGGATGGTGAGACAGCTGGCGGAAAACAAATCTCAGAATCAGCTCTTCTGGCACTGCAACAAACACCAAACAATTCACCACTCTGAATGACTTACTTGCAACCATTATGGTTTTGGAGTTGCCGCCCAGACTGTCTTTGAGAAGCCAGGTGAGGACAGAGTCCCTGTAGGGAATGAAGCAGTGCCTGCGCCCGCTGCCCGACAGAGAGCTGGACTGGCTGCCCACGGTGCTCCCTTCACCCTCACTGAGCACACTGTTAATGCTCTGACTGCTGCTGAACATCTGAGAGTTTTGGGCTAGAAAAACAAAGTGAAATGTGATGACAAAGAAGATGAGAAAAGGATGATAAGAGTAAAGAAGGCCAGGGCCTACCAAGAGCGGAGATTACAATGCCAAGGGTGACAAGAGATTTGTTGATGTTGGCTCCTTCTGTTAGTCTGTCTCTGCAGTATTGAGGGTCTGCTCGTTCACTGACAGCACAAAGAGGGTTAGAGTCAGTGCTTACATTCTAGAGATCACCCACTAGAGGGCAACTTGGTCATATATCATGGTTCTCTATCATGTTCAGTAAAAGCCACATTCTAGATTAGGGGTGTCCAATCCTCCTCCTGGTTATTCCACCGTCCTGTAGAGTTTAGCTCCAACCCCACTTAAACACACCTGAACCAGCTAATCAAGGTCTTATAGGCATACTAGAAACTTCCAAGCAGTTGTGTAGAGGCAAGTTTGAGCTAAACTCTGCAGGATAGTGGCCCTCCAGGACTGTGTTTGGACATCCTTGATCAAGATGTTGACTTTACAGGATCTATACTGCCTGAAAGGAATGATTGTTTAAAGTTAAACAAAGACACTAACCTGCCAGCCAGGTCCACCAAGTTGATCTTGCTCACTATTTCTGAAGGAAGGTTATTTTCTAGAATAGCCTATAAAAAGAAAACACTATTCTCACTACAATATACACTACACTGGAAAAGAAAATGGGTACAGAAACAATTTTCACTCAGAAATTGGTAAATTCCTGTAAATGTCACAAATAATTACAAAGATACTCCAAAAAATACATTGAATTAAACATGACATTTTTTAAGTAGAAAAACTAAAATAGTTTTTTTTTTTTTTTTAAACATACTCCAGTAATTTTTGTTTTATTTACAACTTCTAAAAATAATTTTTACAGCGCACCATTCAAAAGTTTGGGGTCGGTAAGATATTTTATGTTTTTGAAAGGAGTTTCTTGTCCTCAGCAAGGCTGCATTTATTTGATCAAACTACATGGAAAACAGTAATATTGTGAAATATTATTAAAACTATTTTCTATTTGAATGTATTGTAAAATGTAAATTATTTCTGTGATTGCAAAGCATCATTACTCCAGTCTTCAGTGTCACATGATCCTTCACAAATCATTCTAATATGCTGATTTGGTGCTAAAAAACATTTCTTATTATTATTAATGTTGAAAACAGTTGTACTACTTAATATTCTTGTGGAAACTGTGATAAATTTTTTCAGGATTCTTTGCAGGTGAATAGAAAGTTCAACTCTTTTCAATTCTATGTTCAATTTCCATTAGGACCAGAAATCTTTTGATCAATGTAATGCGTCCTTGCTGTATAAAAGTATTAGCGTACTGTCCCGAAACATTTGAATGGTAATGTAGAGGTAATTTAATTATATTTTTTGACACTTGGATGATGAAGCAAGAAAATATCCATTGTGACCTGCAGCCATTAAGAGCTTTAAGGTGCTTTAACCAGTCATACAACAACACTAGTTTAATGCAGTTTGCTTTAAAAAAAAAAGACGAATGGGAGATCATCAGATGCTATGGACATGATCAGAGATTCAAACCTGTGTGTATTGAATAGTAAAGATGGCATGAGATCGACTGCTAGCGTCATGAACGTGTGTAGCGGCTGTGATGCGGTTAGCGATGCCCTCCTCAAGCAGATCCACTGCTTGCTTGTAGTCGGTCACTACATGCTGAGAAAGACCTATGATAAACACATAATAGCATCATCATCATCCTTTCCACAATTTGAGTCACAGATACTCTCTTCCTGCCTGAGAATGACACTCAGATTACTGTAAAAGGAACAAAATCAGGAAGAGAATGCTGCTGAATCCTCTTTTAATATAAAGTGGACTGTGGTGCTAAAACATTTACTAATTGGTCTGTTATGGTGTATGGGTCTGAGTTTAGCCTCACTTTATATGTATATGTGCGTACAGTGACCACAACTTTTCAAGCAAAACATTTACATTATACTTTCATTTGTTAGGTTTTAAATTGTAATATATGTATAATATATACATATTATAATATAGTTCTGGTCGGGAATTAGCCAAACAGTTCAAAATAATTGAAAAAAACAGAACAGTTATGAGAAAAGGTATGTATTTTGTTATTTTATGCTAGGATTTAATTCAACCTTTTCAAGTATCCATTATGTCCAAATACTTTTTGGAGTTACTGTGTTTACATGTTTGAGAAAGACATCTGGTCAATACACAATGCCTTTCTACTCCGCTCCAAGCAGCCACATGGAAGTGAGGTCACTTCCTTTGCTGCACTGGGCTTTCTCCTAATACACACAATGACTGGATGTTGGACAAGGAAGAGAGAGAGAGCAAAAAAAGAGGAGAAGCAGATACAGTCCTACAAGTTGGCTACTCTCAACACAAGCTGTGGTGGGAACTGAGGGTGTGTTCACACTTGTGGTTCGGTTCTCTTGGTTCTTTTGGTCCGGACAAAAAAAAGAAAACAATACATTTAGTCCTGGTTCGCTTAGCGTTTACACTGTCATTTTAAGACTGAACCTAAAGAAACAAACAAAAAAAAAATATATATATATATATATATATATATATATATATTGTGACGGAACATTTTGACCAGCTGAGAACTCGTGAAAAGTTTATAAAATGTGTAAAGGAGTCAAAACAGCTGCAGGAATTCCTCCGTAGCACACAAATAAAGATCTGCTGCTAGGAGACGGTGTTTCTGACGCCTGTACCGAACTGTGATGGGCAACATTGAGAGATCCGTGACTATGATGAGAAAAAACAGGTATGCTTCAGCATTCTGTCCTTTTTAAGGGCCCCATCTTGTGACATTACATCCTGTTTTTGGTTAGTTTAGATGTCTTTGGTCTGTGTTGCATTCATATTTCGGTTGAACCGCACCAGCGATTGTTGTGGCGAAACTTTACTGCCGTACCATGAGTGCAGCAGGCGTAATGATATGACGCAGCGCCGGAAAATAGCCCCCAGCTCTATTGACGGAAGGTAGCCTATTTTCAGGCGCTGCGTCACATCATTACGCCTGCTGCACTCATGGTACGGCAGTAAAGTTTCTTGATTATTACGCAGGAATGAGAGTATAGTTCCTAGCCATATCAGCCTAAAAAAATCGCAACTTTACATTTTTCGTCGGTCTTAGTACACGATGTAACTACAGAAGAGTCAAGTTTTAAATAGGAAAAATATCGAAACTCTTTGGTGATTTTTGTTTGAGAACTGCTAATGGTCTTGTCCACTTCAATGATGTATGCTAAGCTATGCTAAAAGTGGTACCGCCAGAACCGGAGATCGGCTGAATGGATTCAAAAACGGTAAAACTCAACAGTTTAACTCTGGGGGAGTTGTAAAATGAGCCTGTTTCCAAAAAAAGTGGAGTATCCCTTTAAGGGCCCCATCTTGTGACATTACATCCTGTTTTTGGTTAGTTTAGATGTCTTTGGTCTGTGTTGCATTCATATTTCGGTTGAACCGCACCAGCGATTGTTTGGACCCATCTTTTCAGCATCTCAGTCCGCTTGTTTGGTACGCACCAGGGTTTGGATGGCAGCATTCACATTTATTTACATGAACCGCCATGACAGAGCAATCGCACCAGAGTTTGTTTTAATCGAACCAAACCTGCCAAGTGTTAACACACCCTGAGTTACAAATGCAAACAGTCAGAAACGAATAACTTATGTACACAATTACTTCTTTAATAAAAATATACAACCATTCATTAAACGTTGTAACATAGTGAGCGCTTTCCTTGTGTTTTCATAAGCGTAGGTTACAAGAGATATTTTGACTTCGTTTGAGGGGATTCACCAGACTTTACCAGTTTTGTTCGTTCTACAACAAATTAGCTTGAAAGCCATTTAAAGTTTGCCATGTGAACACTCACCCTGCACGTAGGGCCCCTTCTCTGGGTGTTCTCGAACCCTCAGGGGTGCTGGCTTCTTCTGCTCCGCACCTCTTAGCAGATCACGGACACGCTCATTATAAATCTCTAAAAAACTGAGAGGGAAAACATAAGGTTGTGATTTGCTTTCGCTTACAGGCATTTTTCTTCATTCTCAGCATATGTTTGTTGGTACTGTTGCGAAAGTGTCAAAGGAAAAGAAACCAAGGGTTTTCCTCTCACCTTATTTCAACTCTACAGCTCTGTCCATCAGTAGATTCAAGTTCAGACCTAAAAAGACCCTTAATAAATGATAAAAAAGGATTGTTCTGTAAGAAAACATTCAAAGATAACTCCATGGATAATGTAAAGTGGCAGTGCTGGTAAATATATGTCATTATTAAAGGGATAGTTCACCCAATATAAATGAAAATGCTGTCCTCATTTACTCACCCTTATGCCATTCAAACTCAGAAGAATCTCATTCATCTTCAGAACACAAATGCAGATATATTTATTTAAAACTGAGAATTTTTTCATCCCTCCACTGAAAGTCCACAAAAGAAAAAATTGAGGCTTCAAAAAATCATAAAAGTAATCCATCTGAACTGAGTGGTTTAATCCAAGTCTTCTGTCTACAATTGATTTTTATGATCATTGTTCAACACACATCATTGTCAAGCAAGCTCATTTGATCTTCCATTTTCTATTTAAATAGTCCATTACTTCAAAAGACATGCTTAAAACAGGTTGATTTATATGGATTACTTTTCCAATGTCTTCTTTATCAACTTTTTGAAGTATCAACTTTGGTTGCATAGACTTTCAATGGAGGGACAGAAATATATTCAACTGTATTTTGAAGATGAAAGAAATTATGGCCTTGTTTCACAGACAGGGCTTAATTAAGTTAAATTAGGACATTTAATTAACTTTTTAAAATTTCCCTCAGAAAAAAACATTACTGGTGTGCATCTTACTTGACAGATCCTTGGTGTCAGCCCAATGGAGTCCTGCAAAGATGAAGAAGACATAATATTTAGGTTGAAATAAAGCTTCATCAATGACTTTATCTCATGCTAGTGCTGTTACTCACCGGAGTACCCATCATGGTGTACGTTTTCCCTGAGCCCGTCTGTCCGTACGCAAACAGACACACGTTATACCCCTCTGAAGCCCCAGACAGGACACACACACCCAGGTCCTGAAACACCTAGAGGAGACGGCACACTTTTTTAGACAAATTTTGTTAGGTTAGTGCAAAACCTGCCTGGATCTCAAGGTGTTGAAATTCTTGTTCTGTGTACTTTGAATGAGTTTGTTGAGAGAGCGTTATTGTTGATCCATGTTTGTTTGAGAGAGAGAGAGCCAACCTGGTCTTTGAAGGTTACCTGCGTATGTTTGTGTATGTTTAGAGCGAAGAGAATGTGCTGTATCTGTGTTTGCTTGAGACCCTCAGAGCATGTGGAGATCAAGCTTTTGCCTTTTTAACTGTAAGGAGAGGAGAAATGAAAACACAGAGACCAACTCCTCTCTCACCAGCCCCACTTGGACTGCTCTGTCTATTTTCCTCTTTCTCTTCCTTCAGTTTGTTTTTCTTCAGAATTCATTGAACTCCTGTGTCTAAACGAAATCTCCTTGACAGCATGTTGTCCATCTCAGCGCTACGCTGGCATTTACACTGTTTATGTTACACTTCATAAGACACTGACACATGCCAGTCTGACATGTTAAAAAAGCACACCATATCAACCACCCCCATTATGTATAGTAGAGTAACTGTGTAGATGAGTCATTTAAGAGGCATTGTACACTGTTAAACTGCCATTTTAACAGAAAACAACTTGCAGCTGTGGTTGCCAGAATAATTCTGTATAAATACTAATTAATTCAAAATTAATTCAGCCCTTTTTCTGCTACTAAAATCTGTTTTGTACCTTTAACATATACTGACATCCAACACCCACACAGTAGCTATATTTCCATCCAAAGTTGTGAATTTAACTTGTGCGCAAAATTGGAATAACGCACAAAACATTTGAGCACCATCCAGTGAGCCGAAAAGAACAAATTCACAACTTCCTGATAAACTGGCGCTAAATATCACTAATAATAAAGTAGGAGAAGCCACTGTATATAATCATTTTCGTATTTAATAAATGACTTGCGTCTCAGAGCGCGCAGACGAAAACGATTTTCTATCTCGCTTTCGGAGGCAGATGCTGCTGTTTGGGAATGTATAGAGAGTTCTGGGTGGGAATTATACCGAACCACTTTTTGATGACAGACTTTACTCAGTTATTTCGAAACAACCAAAACAGCATTTCAGATACTGTGCAACAAGGTCAGTCCACTGGTTAGGTCTAGTTGTCATCCCATCACGCAAAGTCACATGATTTTTTTTGATGCGCATCGAGGAATTTTTTCGGTAAATGTGTTTTCATCATAGCTCATGTACATGTTTTCTTATCAGATAAAACATTTATTCGCATACATTTTTTATGTACATTTTTAGAATTTATGCGCATCTTGGTGTTTCCATCCAGCAGTTTTATGCGATATCCCAAAGTGTGCATAAAAATTGTGGATGGAAACATAGCTAGTGTCATACGCAAATACAAAATACCATCACAGAAATGACAGTAAAATAACACAATAAATATTAATTTAACAACATAAGATGTAACATAAAACCCTAAAGTGGGTTAACAATAAACTGATAACAATAAATGAAGAAAAACCATAAAATGTGAAGTGTCACATCGGAAATTCAGGGAATATCAGTTTACGGGGTTTAAGTTGATTTGCTCTTTTTTTCTTCAAAAAAAAATGGTACATAAGGTTTTTTTTACTGTAAAATTATTTGAAATGTAAGGTTAGATTTATTACAGTTTTTCTCATTTATAATAAGGAAACTTACTGTTAACCAAGTAACAGATTTTAATTGTTGCATTTTTAGTCATTTACAGTTAAAATTACAATTTGTTTTACACTGTAGGCCTCAAAGTGAAAGCACGTACACACTGTATGTTTATCAGCTAACACATGAGAAACAAAGCTAAATCTGAAGCTATTTGAATGTCCAGTATTTACTCAGTAATAGCACTGTAATGTGTTCTTTAAACAGCCAACTAACAAAGGAGGTGTACTAATTGCAAACAACAAGGATAATGACTAACTACCAAACGTTTGTTTTTCATACACTCTTGTCTATCTTCATGAACTTTCAAAAGAATAACAAAACTAAACACATAAAATACATCTTTCTTTGTGTACTACAGGTGTGGGAGAGAGAAAGTCATTTGACCTTCATGTCCACTGAAAACCCAGTGAGTCAACAAAACAAGAGACTCTCTCAGGGTATTGTAACCCAGGTATGTATTTGGCAGAGATGAGAAGAGTCCTGGGGCCAGGCCGGTCTCTGTGTAGGGTGTGAATGAAGGCTAATTGGGATGCTGTCTGCAGGGAGAGTGGATCAGCATCTAGCAGCCGCTTCTGTCTGACTTACTCTAATTATCCTGAGTTCCATTCTTCAGCTTGAAAGAATCAGTGAGGGAGCTTGTTAGACAAGTCCATCTTAACTCACTCTCCACTGAACTCAGCTCATGTTAGATGCTTTTCAATGTCACAGCACTCTCTTTTTAATTTGCTCTCCCTGTCACTACTGGACTTTAGCCAAAAGCACTCTCAAGTCTCAAACAAATTCTTAAACGGCATTATATTAGTCTTTATGGCTGACGTCATGACATGGGCTGTGTTCGAAATCGCCCCTACATTATCCCACTAATATAGTCCACTTGAAGGAGTGAGTGAATTCGGACTGCCGCTTTTTTTATCGTTTGTGCTTGTTTTTAATAATCATTTGAAACTTTGCAAACTGGTAATTCCAGTAGTAATGAAAAGATTTATCGGTAACACTTTATTTAAGGTGACATAGTTACACGTTACTACATAGTAATAACAGTATGTTATGCATAATTACAAGATACTAACCCTAAAACAAAACCTAACCCTAACCGTAAATCTATAGTAACTGCATGTAGTTAATTAATATTACTCAGTACTTATTTGAGCAAGTACAGTGTAACTACGTCACCATAAAATAAAGTGTAACCGATTTATCTTGTACACCGTCACAGAAAATAGCATGTATAAACCTTACAATGCGGAAATTCATTTGGCGTGACCCTCACAGAGAATTATGGGTATTCTCTAGCCGTTGAGTGCACACCGGTTGTACACATTATTGGGGTGTATTATGGGATTTTAATGAGTGCACTCGATAACATCCACTATGGTTTCGGATATTACTACAAATGCCTGTACCCTCAAATAGTGCCCTATTTAAGGGTATGGGGGCGATTTCAAACACAGATGTAATTTGTCTGACTACACTAAAAGCAAAACTTGCTCACTTGTGCTCCTAATTTAAAAACAATTCAAAAGTAAAAAATGTAAGTGTAGATTCTTTAGAGATGGTCCCACAATATAACATGCACAAACAGGCATGAGAAAATGGAGATGATCAATTATGACAAAATTCAGAAAAATAATGTGTGTCATGACAAAGAAGTTTACTTTGACATTTAATTTTAATATTTTCAGTTTATTTGATAGACTGCAAAAAAGGCAGCTCATGTTAAACGGTTTCACTGTGTAAACATTAATACACAAAAAACACAATGACAATTAATATTATTAATACTATGAATAATAATAAAACAATTAAAAAAAACTGTAAAAATTAGTAAAGAAATGTAGTACTTTAGTAGTAGTTCTATGTCAAATAAAAACAGTATTAATGATGTTCATAATATTAATAATAATAATAATAAAACTTAAAGACTTTGGCCAAAATGGAATTAAATCCCCCTCTAAGATTATGTGTGTGCATGCAATTATGAATGTGCGCATGTGTACAGAGACACAGGAAACCTTGGACAAAAGCATCTGATGTTTGCTTTCCTCCTTTTTCCTCCTCATACCACAAACAAAAACAAATGTACTTCTGGTCACAATGCTAGAGGAAAGCTGAATTTAGAGTTGATCCTGGACGGGAAGTTGTCCAGAAGGTCAGTGCTTTAGGCAACATGTGATCCCAAAGACCCCTTTGAGGAGATGGTCAGTCTGGGAGGGGCAAATCCAAAAGTGGGGCAGTGGAAAGGAAGTCTCAGGCGGACTTAATTATGGGAGATGACGTCTTTCAATAACAAACAACACCATCATGGGTTCAGTCTTGGCTTCTCAGTGAAAGAGTTTAAAGGCCTTGGTCAAAGACTCTAAAAAGGAGGCTAAAGCAGGATGCTTTAGGACGAATAATACACGCAGAAAAGAAGCATGGATATGAAAGGTTGAAGGGAAACTCCACTCCATTAAAAAGCTGTTAGTTTGTAATACACCCACTTTTAAAATCCTACGGCCTGTAATCAGAGTTTGGAGCGCTACAGTGAGGAGAGGCTCTTTAATGTGGCTTTCTTAATAGCCACCTCTCGAAAACTCCTTGTTTCTTGTGATATCTCATGGGAGTGCCAACTGAAGCCCATCCAAGGCAAGGGCCGTCCCAGACCACAGACCAATACGTCAGTCCCGCTTTTATACAGAGAGAGCACTGGGACAGAAATACTGAAACACATGGTTTACATTGAAGGGACTTCTCAGCTTTGCCATCACATGAATAAATTAGATTTAAAAATATATTCGGATAGAAAACAATTTAAATAATTATAATAAATATTTCACAATATTTCTGTTTTACTGTATTTTTGATCAAATAAATGCAGCCTTGGTGAGCATAAGAGTTTTTTTTTTTTTTTTTTTACATTTAAAACTGTACTTAACTTTTGAACGGTATAGTGTATGTAATATATAAGTAATAAATATTACAAATTTCAAATACTAAATCATCACTGCAAAAAAACAAATGCAAGATGAAAGAGAGCGTTGACCACAACTGTAAATGTAGAAATTAACAGCTTGGACATTGTGCTAAACATCTTTTTTTGTGTTCCATGCAAAAGAGAGAGTCATTTTTGTCATTTATGTTATTGTTGCTGACATAGAAAATCCAAATGCTGTATTCACAAACCTAGGAATAACAACAACTAGACTTGTTCTCACTGAGATATTTAATGTAATGACTCTGAGATCCTGTTTATAGCTGCATGCGAACTGTAGGGAAAGCTGGGTTAAATGGGTGGTGGAGGGGACTGTGGG